TTGTTTTGTTTTGTTTTTAATAATTTATATTGTTTTTTATGTGTGTACCATCAAATCAGATCTGGTACAGAAGGAGATTGACCCTCCCTCTTCAGCAGAGCATCTGGTGGATTTGAACCGCGCACCTCTGGGATTGCAGTGCAGCGACTTGCCACTAGGCCACCAGAGCTCGCCCACAAGAGGTTTTTTTGGTTTGTTTGTCTTTTAATCTTTTAACGGAAGCAGCCCTCCAGGGCCTTTCTTCTATAGTGCTGCTGGTTAACTTTGAGGTTAGTAACCAAGAATAAACTGCTTCAGTATCAAGAAACCAGGAGAAGCGCCTGCTTCTGGGACTGGGGCAGAAGATACACGAGATGAATCTGGGAGGTTATACAGTGTTAAGGACAGTGCTATTAAGTCAATTCCAACTCACAGTGGCCCTAGAGGCTAGATGCAAAGTGCTCTTGAGGTTTTCTTTTTTTTTATTTTATTTTATTAATTTTAATGACCATTTACAGAGATTTTGCATTTTCTTTTTTTTTTTTAATTTTTGTGTGAGTGTACCGTCAAATCTGATCTGACTGGTAGAGGAGGAGATTGTCCCTCCTTTTCCCGGCAGAGCATCTGGTGGATTCGAACCGTGTGCCTCTGGGATTGTAGTTGCAGCTCCTTGCCACTAGGCCACCAGAGCTCACCTTGCATTTTCATTCATTCATTGTTGCATTTTTTTCTTTACCTCCCCTTCCCCCAGTTAGCTCCTCTCTTTGAAAAGCAAAAGATAAACTTCATCGTTGGTATACAATCCCCCCTGACCCCGAACCCCCACCCCACCCCACCCCCTTCCCCAATGCTCTCCACTATGCAACCTTAATTCTGGATTCCTGTGATAGTCATAATATGCTATCATATATCACTTTTAAACTGTTCTCTCCCTTATCTGTTTCAGTTCAGTATAGATAATCTATCCAGTTTTCCAAAGCTGTAAATTTATATGGAAGTAGATTGCCTCATTTTTCTTCCACGGGGAGGCTGGTGGGTTTGAACTCCTGACCTTATAGTCAGCAGGAGTTTCCCAGCACAGATACTCAGAGCTGAAGTGATTTAGGCAGAGGGACAGCAACAGTGGCGTTAAGCATGGCGGAGACAGAGGATTGGGAAGGACATGGGTGTAGGTCTCCATGTCTTGGAGAAAGTGCAACCAGGGTGCTCCTTCGAGGCGAGGATGGTGAAGTTTTGTCTCACGTATTCTGGGCATGTTGTCGGGAGGAGCCTGTTTCTGGAAAACAATATCGTGCTTAGAAGGGTGGGGTGTATAGGGAGCTCTGGTGGCCTAGTGGCAAGACGCTGTACTACAATCCTAGAGGTATGTGGTTCGAATTCACCAGATGCTCTGCTGGAGAAGGAGGGGCAATCTCCTCCTGTACCAGTCAGATCTGATTTGAGGATACACACACACACTAACTAACAAAAACTAACAGAGCAGGGTAACACGGCATGATTCAAAATTGGGAAGGGTGTACGCCAGGGGATGTGTCCTGTCTCCATACCTCTTCAACCTGTATGCAGAGCAGATTATCTGAGAGGCTGGGCTCTATGAGGAGAAGTGTGGCGTCAGGATTGGTGGAAGATCTATTAACAATCTGCGTTATGCAGATGACACAACCCTGCTTGCTGAAACTGAGGAGGACCTCCCATTAGATCGGGGCTGTGATGGGATTGAGTGGCTTACATCTTACCCTTACTCCTCTTCCTTAATCGGATAAAACAGATTGCTTTCTCAGATTCCTGGGGGGATCATGTCATAACTTCCACATTACATTGTTGTTGTCATGCAGTTAAATCTGACTCATAGTATCTCAACGTACAACTTGTTGAATCATTTTTTCTGTACCTAAATCCAATGTTGAACTCACTGTGTCGCTCTACTGTCTTGAAGGTCTTTCTTTCCTTTGTTGACCCTCCACTCTACCCAGCATGAAGGGCTTCTCCAAGACTGGCGTCTCCTGGTATGCGAGACAAAAATCACACCATCTTTGCCTCGAAGGGGTCCCCACCTGCACTTCCTCCAAAACAGGTTTGTTTGGGGTTTTTTTTTTTTTTTGGCAATCCAGAGTGTTAAATGCTCTTCTCCTCCACCAAAATTCAAAGGCATAAAATCTTCAGTCTTTTTTTTTTTTTTTTAATGCATCGTCCAACTTTCACATGCATATGAAGCAACCGAAAAGACCATAACTTGGCTCGGTGCACCTAACTCTTTAAAATTGTATCCTTCCTCTTTAACATTTTTAAGATCTTTGACAGTACATTCTCCCAGCGCAGCATGTCTTTGTCTTTCTGGATTGCTGTTTCTATGGGTGTTACTTGTGGATCCAATTAAAATGAAATTGTTGAAAATTCCAGTCTTTTCTCCAGTTGTCATGATGTAGCCTATTGGCCCACTTGTGATGATTTTTGTTTTCTTGATATTGAAGAATAATCTTTCTTGAAAAGCTGTAGTCTTTTTTTTTTTTTACTTACAACAACAACAAATGCCATTGAATTGGATCTGGCTGGCACAGGAAGAGATTGCCCCTCCTTCTCCAGCAGAGCATCTGGTGGATTTGAACCGTGAACCTTCAGGATTGCAGTACAGCTTCTTGCCACTAGGCCACCAGAGCTCCCTGAAGTCTGTAGTCTTTGATGTTTGAAATTAAGTGCTTAAACTTGGGGAGAACACAACTCAATTGTAGGATACTAACAGAACAATTGATACTTAAGTCTGTCTCTTTCCCCATATCCTTTCTTCTTCTCCTTTGCATCTATTTTATACACTTGTTATACAGTTTCTTCCTCAAGATGGAGAGAGAGGGAGTGTGAAGGCAATCTAGACATTTTCTCAAAACAACAGGACCCACCTAACAGGAAAAAGCCTTCTTGGTCCAGCTCCAGATGTAAAAACTCAGAAAAGACGCTCATGGGCCCAGCAGATAGTCTGTTCTTCTCTTTCAACCAATCACCGTGTCCAGGAGGTAGGGCATAACATAGGCAGGTCACTCACATGTCCACCCGTCAACCAATCACCGTACTGTAGAAGAGTGCACCTAAGAGAACTACAGCTTTTGTGGAGTTCTTTCTGTGTATGTAGGTGCTTTTGTGTTGGTTGCTACTCAAAACAACCCACAACCCTGGGCACAGCAGAATGGAGAAATTCCTGGTCCTGGGCCACCTGCACAATCCACGTTCCAGGCTATGATTGTAGCCGCTGTGTCACTTAATCTCTTTGAGGATCTTCCTCAATTTTGTTGATCTGCTGCTTTTTCAGGTAACCTTCTCCAGGGTCTGGCCCCTTCTGGACAGTATGCCAAAAGTATGTGAGACAGAGCTCACTTCAAAGATGCATTCTGGCTGCGTTTTTTTCCAAGACAGATTAGTTCGTTCTTCTTGCAGACCATGGTATGTTTATTCAATATTCTTCACCATCGCCATAATTCAGAGACATGAGATCGCGGCTGTGAGCTCTTCATTTCTCCTTATTCATTGCCCATCTTTCAAATATATGTGAAGTAAATGATAATATCATAGTACGCAAAGCGACATCTTGGCTCTTGAATAATTTCAAGTGTTAACCACAGGGTTGGTGCAAACTGCTCACATGTTCAGCTGTTAGGGGAAAGGTTAGCAGTTCCAGTCCCCCAGAGATACTTCAGAAGAAAAAACAGCAATGTACTTCCAAAAATATCTGCCTTTGAAAACCCTTTCTTTTGGATGGTGACGATTGCTGCATGTGATTGATATAACTGGTAGCACTAATGAAAAATGAATTGGCAAAAGCAGCGCTACAATCCTGAAGGCGCATGGTTCAAATCCACCAGATGATTTGCTGGAGGAGGGGCAGACAATCTCCTGTGCCAGTCGGTTTGGACTCAACGGTACACAGACACACACACACACACACACACACACACACACACACACAGGCAAATGGTATCATTTTACACACACACACACACACGTAGTTCTGGTGGCCTAGTGGTAAGAAACTGCACTTCAATCCCGAAGTCAAGCCCATAGTAACTGGTTCCAAACAAGAAAAACAACCAATCAACCCAAACCACTGACACTGGATTTCCACTCATAGCGACCCTATATAGAAGACTGAGCGCTTTAGGGTTTCCAAGGTTATAAATCTTTATGACACATCAGTTAACAATGGACTTACGCATATGAGAAATATGATGACACAAGATAGTGCAAGGTTCATATCTGTTATTCACAAGATCGGTATGAGGCGACTTGATGGCACCTAACAACTACAGATAAATAATTTTATATTTCTATCCTTTTCCTTCTACGGGGCAAGGAAATCCTGCAATAACAAATGAATGAGTCAGATGGTGTAAAAGAAGACAGAAGAAATGTTGGCAATGATTTCCCCAGCCTAGCCATGTTCAAGCATCTTTTTTTTAATAATATTTTTTTTATTGGGAAAAACATATTGGGGGTACAAGGAGGTGAGGGTTGGGGGCAGAAGGGTGAGGATGGACCAGGATGCAGTTGCAGAGCTGCACAGTTTGGTTGGTGGGGGGAATGAGTTCAAGCACCTTGATGCACCAAAGACCCAATTCATGTTTATTGAATGAATGGCCAAACTAATGTCTCCAGTAGCTGTTCTGGGACAACACCAATTTCAGACTCGGGTTGATCACGAGTGGACCTGTGATACAGGTTCCGCATACAGGTGTACTGTGTTTTACCGAGCAGAGACCACCAAGGGGGCGGGACCCTTAAGTGACCCAAGACCCTGGAGGCCAAGCAGCCTCCAGTTGGGGGCGGGGCTTCAGGCCACAGCATTTTGGGTTGAACCATCTTCTATGTATTTAGAGGGGAAAGCTGAGAGAGTCCTTCTACATCTCTCGCCAGTCCTCCTACCACTCCCTAGCCGTAATTATGAGACATTTGCTTCTATACTACAAACATAGTTTCTCCCTTCGCCTCATTACGTTTCACAGTTTCACGCATTCACACATATCAGGTTTCCCCACCACCACCACTCAGTGGCTCGCCCCAGTTTGACGCATTGCAGGGAAGGCCGGACCAATCGACGCCGCGCTCTCATTTCCTCCAAGTCTCGGGCCCAATAGGGGCGCAGCTCACACAGGGACGCGTTACGCATCGCCGAGCTGTGCCCCTCCGCCAGGGAGGGAAGTAGAGTGGGCCCAGGGGGCGGGGCACGTGGTGACAGAAAGTAGTCCTCGGGCGGGAGCGCG